AAGTTCATTTTCGTAGATCTCTGCATTCGTGTAGGTTTGCTTGTGTTCCACAGTGTTCAGAAAGACAAAATACTGAAGTCTTAAGATGACTTCACTTCCTTGAAGAAATAACAGCAGTGAAGGGGTTATGAGTAGAGTTTAAACAATGAGATTTTCGTGGGACATCTGTTTTGAGATCACATTTTGAATAGATATGAACTCATTTCCTACTAAGCAAGCAATCTACTATTGTTGATAGCTGTTTACCAGTTCTATGAGTCAGATATTAGCTAGTGGCAAAGGTCCCTCTCAAATTCTCCGAGTATTTTTTAAACTGTGTACATAGTGTTTTCCTTAAATAAAATGTTAAGAGAAGTAAAAATACAGTCTTTTCCTGCCTCTTGGTAAATTAGAGTTCACAAAATTTTGCACTTGGAATATTTAATGCATTTATTTTTAAAGGCTTATTTCCTTTGTTGTCTTTGCTGAAGGGAGTAAGACACTAGGTTCAGCATGGATTTAAAAAACATGGATACTTTAAGAACTGCTCACTGTGTCAATATTTATATAACATTTAAAAACTAGAAGTAAAATTAAGTTTCCTTTATTTAGATTAGATGAATTGTGATTAATTTAGCATCTACAAAAAGTGCCTAATGCCTAAAAGATAAACAAATAAAAACACAGCAATATGCAATAACAAGCTGACCCCGGGTTCACTAGTTTTAAATTCTTCCCTTCCCATATCCCAGTTCCAATTTCTAAGCAGCAATTTTTTAAGCTGGTTATGCAGATCAGTCCTTAAAGAAAAATAATGGCAATTTGTCTGGCCTCTGTGTTGTGGATAGTGTTGCCACTGAAAAGAATCCAGGACATTTTTCCTTCTTATCTGCAGTGTAGCTCATATCGGCCAACCTGTCACAAGATAGTACTTGATATAAACAAGAGATTGCTAAGACATCTCAGTAATCAATATCAGGATGGCTACAGTATGGAAACCCCAACCAGTGCATATCATTTGTCTCAGCATCTATTTCTATGGCCAAATGAAGCATTAATTCAAATCATAAATCTATGGTGATTTAAATCTGGGAATGAGCACCTGCCAGCTTTAATGATTTATTTTGTACATTTCAGTAAGCAGGAGATTTGTCCATATGAACTGACAGGTCACCTTCAGATGCCAGGAGCAGACTGTTTATCACCATGCAGACTAGCATCTCATCTTAGCAAGTAAATATTAAACTAAAAGAATCCAATTGATTGTGGATGAGGGAGAATGGCGACATGGCTATATATTTTACTCAGAATGCTGATGCCTCCCTCAGATCTATCTTGAGGTCCTCACTTCCTCCTGGAGTGATGATTTTGTGGGAAGAATCACCCTGAAAATGATGATTCTGCGAACTCAAGGTTACCATGTAAAATTGGGGTGCAAAACCGTTTGTTAGTATCAAAGATTTCTTTAAACAGCTTTTTTAAGCTGTTTTTTAAGACTCACAGTGAGAAGGGTCATCTATAATGAAATTATACTGTCACCTCACCACGCCAAATCAAACTGAACCAAACCAAGTGAAAACAAAATCTATTTTCTGAGGCGGTAGAGATTTATTTACAACCAAAGGAAAAATATGTGCTCCAACAAAGAAAAGCCTAAAATATTTAATGGAACTTATGTGCCAGATTAGCATAGGAGGTAAAAAAGAGGACTGAAATGACTTCAAAAATGTCAGTCGATTTGGACAAGACTGAGTAGCAACAATATATCAGTAAAGTAACTTCAAAGATCCAACTGGCAGATTCATGAGAGAGTAAATTTTATTTCTAAAATATAGGAATTGGAGATTCTTGATATTTTTCTGGAATTCTTATTCTTCAGGATCAATTCCTTACTAATTCACCCCAACTGATTCTCCTGGAGGATCCAGTACTTTCTGTTATAGCTGCCTGTTTAGTTAGTCGTCCCATGCATAGCCCACCTTGATTTCTGGGCCTGTCATAGATTATTTTTAGATTCTGAGAACGCACTAAAATCCAATATACAAAAGTTCAAATAACAGCTACCCCCAAATTTCCTCACAGCTTAACAAGTAATACCTAACAGAGAGAATAGGAGGAAGCAGTTTACGGCAGTAAAAAGAAGAAGGCAATTCTCAGGAGGGCAGGTTTAGAGATGTAATAATATCAAAAGCAATGCCAAAACACCAACCAAACCATGTGATAAGTAGGCTGTGACAAATAACGTGATAAGCACAGACATACATTTTAATTCTCATGAGGTACACACTCTTATCTATAGCATTTTTCCAAATGTGGAATGTTAGGCTCAGAAAGTTTGCATAACTTCTAAAGTCACAGAGCAAGTCATTATTGAATACTTACCTGGAAGCAGGCACTGTCCTCCGAACCAGGGAAGACTGGGGCCGTAAAAAACTGTTAATTCGGCAACTGCATTGATCTGTGTGAGTTCAAGTCCCATCGCTCTCTACCCCTCCAACCACCTCTTCCCTTCCCAAAGACGATTTTTCCCTGCTCTCTGGATAAACATACAGGATTACAAGTGCTCAGGAAAAATAATATAAACTGTAAATTTTTAGAAGATAGGACCATGTGAGAATACAATGAAAATGGTAACTTTTTTCATGTGTCCAAATCCAGTAAAGATATGTAGGACAGAATGAGTAACATGCCTTTGGAGTTAGCAATGACAATGATGCTAATACGTTAGACAATATCAAAACTCTCTAGGAAATTTTGAGCAAATTTTTCTTCCTGGTTCAAATTGAACTTGGATAGTCAATGTCAAAGCTAAAAAGCAGTATAAAGTAAAATCCTTATTAGATGACAATGGATATCTTCCAATTACAACACAAAATTAAATTCAGATTATTTTATTTTAAGCCACTTGAACAGTGTATGCACCAAAGCAACTAAAGTAAGCTACAATTTGACAGTAGCGAAATGTTACTGTATACTACCAAATATTAAATGTTATTAGTGCTTAGTTATAAGTCATGTTCCCCTCACCTTATGACTTGGTTTCTCCAAAACTGATCAGTGTCCTACTACTCAGAAAAATTCAGAGGTAACATGTTTTAGTACATTTTGCTTTAAATGTTATTATGTTGCCTATTTTAAGAATCTTTCCTCAAAACACCAACTATCAAATATTTTGAAAACAATCCAAGTTACATTTTGGAACAACTACAATAGCTTAGAGTGGCCAATAACTTATTTTTAAAACAACTGTTCAATACTGCTCAATGTTGCCAAAGTCAAATATTTTTATTTTAAAGCAACATATACTCAGTAGCTCCAAAAGCAGCATTATAATTCTTTCATGTTACTTCAATACTGGTTAACTTCAAAGTCTCCACTTTTACATACACAAACCATGAACTAAACAACCTCATCTTCCTGGGCTTCTCCCTAAGAGCACTTAGAAATGCAAGCACTGATATTTCCCTTAGTCCTTTTTTAGTTTTTCAGCCCTCTCTCTGGGCTTTTATCCATATCTTTTTACCTTTTTAGACATTGCCACCAATACTTTTTCTCAGTTCAACATTGCTGCCAGTGTCTTTCAAGAATCCTAATGAGGGTCTGGTGAAAAGTTGTACTTGTCCCTATTTTACATTAGAAGCTGCCCTTTTGTGTTGCTGAACCAGTGGTTTTCTGTGTATATTTCAAAAGCACTTCCTACCTTTGCATTCTTGGCTAGTGTATGTTTCCAGAGAACTGACATGAAAATAACTGTTACTAAAATCCATACTGTGCCCTTACTTATGAATGGACCGAATGGCTGAAAGTAAAGAGCTGGATATTAATTTAGAAAGTAATCTGGTAAAATGCTGTATGGAAAAGAGAACTGACTGAACTATTGTGTTTTTCTTGTGTCCTTCAAAAGCATATGTTGACTATGATACCTGGTACACACCTTGTAGAATCCAAATTTTCCTTGTGAAATTACATTTTGTGTATGATTTCTGTATTTTAAAAGAAAATGATACAGTGCAGTAACTAAATAAAATGTTTTACTAGGTCAAATAAAAGTTTTACTATGTCAATGTTAAAGATGTTAAAGATTTTATTAATAAAAAAATTAATCCACATTTGAAATTGTATTTGACAAAACAAATTACCCAAATGAATATTCTGCACAGGTAAAGCTGTTTTATTTGGTCTGACTGTGGTAATTAAATTTTAATCTTTTTTGTCTGTAGAGTGGGAAAGAAAAATACCAAGAGAAATTAAAATTGTATTTTTAATGACAGGGACAATGATAATACTTCTATCTAGAAAGAATTACTCAAAATAATCCTTGTTCATGGTTGTATAAGAAAAGATGTACAGTAGTTTTTTAATAAATTCAGTTTCCTACGGTCAACTATGGTTTCAAAATATCAAATGGCAAACTCCAGAAATAAATAATTCATAAGTTGTAAATAACCTATTATGATATATTGTCATTTTCCAATCCTAAATAATTGTTAATCTCTTACTGTTCCTAATTTATAAATTAAACTTTACCATACATATGTATGTAACATAGTATTTATGGAGTTTAGTACTCACTATTTCTAGCAGCCATTGAGGTCTTGGGACCTAACTCCCACACCTGAGGAGGGATTACTGTATGTGCTTTGCTGTTGGTAGTGGTCAATGTCTTACTTGATAAAAAAATGCATTAAAAGAATTTAGAATATAAAGCATAGAGTTTTATTTGTATATATTTTTCTGTTAATTTACCTATACTGGCTATTTTAGAATTACGATTATTAAACTTTATCTGTATTATGGAATACGTTAGTCGAGTACTTACCTGGTTGGTCCTATTAAAATAAAAAACAAAGTTGCTAACTATGTAATCAGAGCACATGTGATTAGAGTGCTACCTTCACAATACTCCATGTTCTCGAGCTGGTTCAAACTTTTTGAGTGGGTAGCATGGAGGTTGGCTCAGGAGAAGTTAGTAGTTCTACAGCAAAGGGATCACAGTTAGTTTCGGTGAACATAAAACTTACCAACACTTGAATTCATGTCCCCATTTTCGGAATCAGCTCCATGCTGGTTATTACTGGCATGATAGTTACTCATAGCTTCTAATTTAATTTTTTTCACCTTCATTGCTTCGGCGATAGCGGCATTGGTAGCAGCAGCAGCTGCTGCAGCTGCTGCTGTAAGACCTTAAAAGAATAAGTTAAAAATGAGGTAACTCAAAATCAGATTTTCACATAATCATCCATGTACTTTTCATAATTTACATACAGCATATATTAGATTATCTGATTTCTTTATGCAGCACTCTGAAAGCACATTCATTGCCAACTAACCAAAGAAATTTAGCATTAATAAAAAGGGAAGAGGGCTCTTCAAACTTCCAAATTAAGTATCAGAAGAAGCATAACCCATACCTAGAATTATAGTGGTGGAAATGCAGCCTAGGCATCTCTCAAAGAAACCAGTCTGAACTAGCTGTTCTTGGTCAAAATCTTCTACTAAAAAGGAGGGGGAATGAGCTGTTGGCTTAATCCCCAAGGCTTTTTCTAAGGAGTGTAAACCAACTTCACCACCCGTGGCTTTCTACTTACTGTTTCATGCCACCCTCAAGCTATGGCAAACATACCATCCTTTCCCACAAACAAACTGCCTCTTCAAGCCTCTGCTTTCCTACATATTGCTTTTGTCTGAGATGGTCTTGCTTCATACTTTACTATACTGATTTCTAAAACTCTAGTAAAATCCTATTCGTTTTTTCCCCCCTTGGTACTGGGGATCGAACTCAGGCCCTTAGCGCTTACAAGGCAGGTGGCGGAACCACTGAGCCCAACACCCAGCCTTAAATCCTATTCATAATTAAGAGTCTAACCACCTTTTCCCCACACTGTGTTGATGCCTGTCTACTTCTCTCCTTCTGGAACACATTTGTCCTTCTATTCGGGCATTGCAGATGTCCATTTCTGCATCCCTTCTCCTCAGTAGATGGTGAGCTTTTCAAAGGCAAGGACTCTTTGTTATAGCTTAGTAGCCTCAGTATTCCGGAAAAATAAAATATGATAACTGCAAGTACTTTACTTCTGCTTATGAAATTTAAGTACTGATTTACATTATGAGAAGACAGATTCATCAGTTTAGTAACTCAAAGTTATTGGTCATTATTGTATATATGTTAGGAAACCATGTGCCAGGATGGAAATAGTATGCTTTGGTCCCAAAGTTAATACTTTTGATCACTGTGCCATGCTTTTCCAGAACATCCCATCTCTGCTCCTTCAGGGAACAGCAGGTATGGGAGATTACAAAGAATATGAGACCAGATCTTGGACGATCAGAAAGTCACTTTATTCTTACTTTAAACATTTATATACTAGCCAGCAAGGTTTTGGAGCAGGAAAGTGGTTTGTCTTCATTAAATGAGTCAATTTTCACCAAGTCAATTCACTTCTGCCTGATATCACTCATCTTTAAATAACAGATACTGGAATATACAAGTTATCTCTAAAATTCCGTAATGTTAAGTCTGTGCTAGGATACATACATATCCTTTTCCTTCTGCATATTCCTTTTGCTATAGCTGCATTAGTATTTCTGACTACGGTGCTCCAGCCTCTTGTGAATTTATCTGTGTGGTTTATTCCCAGTTTGTGGATAAGAGACTGAGCATCCCTCTCTTCTTTTTCCTCCCCACCAATCATAGTTCTAGTTACTGCAGAAAACACTGCAGCCCAAGGAATTATAAGGAACCCTTTCTCAGTGGAAATCTCTGCTATGTTTTAAGAGGATAGGAGAGGACTTCACCTTGCCTTCAGATCTGCACTACGAGGCCCTGACAATTTTCACCCCAGCTCGACAAGATCTACAGATCAGACTTTTGCATGAAAAACTGATAGCCGCCCTTAAAAGGCACTGATCTAAAATCAAAGAATCCATCTGGGTATGGTCTGAACATTCACAGCCTTTTAAGTCTCAATTTGAACTGATTCTCTCATCTTCCTATGAATGAATTTTTTTCCCCAATTACTCATTTCCTTCAAAGATATTTAAGAGCATTTTCTTTCCTGTTCTTTTCTTTGGTTTTTCCATGTCACCAAGGTGAACATCCCTCGGTTGCCTGATGTTGACCCCTCTGCAATTTATGACACTTCTCTGGCCTTGTCTTTGATTTATGCTGCAGGTAAATCTTTCTCATTGCATTTAAATAATAAAAATAAAACTACAGCTTGAAATATGATAGACATTATCATATTGATAAGATAAAATAAGTAATATGCAATGTAGATATGTGTGATTCAACCTTGGACAAGCCACAGAATTCTTTGTCTTTTCATCCATTCTAATTCCAAAAGGAAAATATAAGGATCAAATCAGATAAGCTATGTGAATAACTCCACATCATATTTAGTAACAAGACATGCCATACATTCTAGTTCTTAAATAAACAAAATTAAAACCTAGTTAGAATTTCTTCAGGGCATCTGGGGACTGGCACTACTCCCTAAGCTGGAATAATTATATTTGTCCTTAGATGACAATCATAGCCCTTATTCTTGTTTTGTAACTTTATTATTTAGTTATTCTTACTTATAGCAATCTTTTTAGCTTTGTTTGATGGCATCTACACATTTCACATTTCTAATACAGCTTGAAAAGATATGTGTCACACGAATCCACACATACATGAGCATGGCACACCCACAATACTTTTTAATATCAATTTTAGCCTCTTTGTTTTGAACACAGGAGGTCAATTTTGACATAAGCAACAATTACTGATTTTAGTTTAAGTAATTCCCTTAGCTTTTCAGAAGGTTTTTTATTTTAATTTTTCAGTATCTTTCATATTCAACACATTTCCATGTCATTGCCCTCTGCCATGCAAACTTCCTTCTTTTCTTCCCCAAGTTCTGCAATAAACTCTACAACAACTTCCACGTTCCTCACCTCCAATTTCTTGTCGTTCCAACAGAAGTCATCATGATCTTATGAAATGCAGATGTGATCATGACACTCAATACCTGTTGTTAGGATCAAGCTCAGTAGTTTACACTGCAGTCAGGACTCTTACTGCTCATTTCCCCTATCGGTAGAATTATCTGTTTCCCCTACTGTCCTCCAGATACATGGGTTTTCTTTCACTGCTTTTTCATTGTTTTCAAGTCAGTCTTTGCCTTTGCTATTCCCACTTTTTGAAGGAGCTCTGAAGTCCCCTACCCCTGACCTGCTTAAGCCTTCTTCTTGGGAATGCTCTAATGCTGTGTCTCAAAAAGCAAGCTCGCAAGCCTGACACTTCATTCTGCAACACAGAAATAGTTATCCATCTTTCAAGAACTGTCTAAAGCTTACTCTTTTCAAGAGCCATACCTGACTTTCCAGCAAACCCCCTCAAGTAGAATTTGTGATTCTCCAGCTGTGTTCTCTTCCCTGGTGTGAGGAATGTGAGTTTGCCATCCCTTGCTGTGTATCAGAATGGGATGGAGCCTTTAAATCAACCAAGTAGCTGAGAGCTATCATATTTGATTCTGATTCTTGAGGTCTGAGTTGGGACCTTTGCATTTGCATTATTTTGGGTTAATTTTCCTGTTGCAAGGGTCATTTTTTCTTTTATTTATTTTCTAAATTGAGTTTATTGGTACATTTCAGATATACATTATGATCACATTCGTCATTAGGAATTTGTACCTGTACCTGATGCACCTTAGTTTCTGGTTTTTTTCATTCTACTTCCCTGCCTTGTACCCCTCCCTATTGACAAAAGCTTTGTTTCCCTTTTTCCTTCTTTTCTCATATCCACCCCCCATTTCCCTTCCCCTTTGAACTTTTCTTCCCTTTTTCACATTATCTGTTACACATTTTGGTCCTCATTTACACTTTCAGTTTCTCACACCACAGAGACAAGTCAGTATTTACATGTGTCTTATTTATTTCACTTAAGAGTTATGGGTTCAATATGCATCAAGTTAGCTATGTCTCTAGTTTCTCATTATTTATGGCTGAGTAGTACTCTTTTATAACAAAAAAAGCACACCTTCTTTATACAGTCACCAGTTGATGGGCATTTGGGCTGTGTCCAAGATTTAGCTATTACCACCTGTGCTGCCATAAACAGGAGTGAGCATGTATCATTGTGGTGTGAGTGTAGACCTGGGAGGATGGATTGTGGGTAACTTCTCTACATTATGGTGCTGAGACGGTAGAGATATTTTCTTAGTATATGCATCCCAAACATTTACTACAGTGCTCGGCACAAATTGAAATGAAAAAATGCTTTTCAAACTAGATTACATGGAGAGACAGAGAAATATGGTATTTTGATAATGCCAGTGAAAAGTGATTCAACCTGTTATTTTTACAGGACAATAAATATGAATACATTAAGGGTAGCAAATCTCAGCAATTTAATATAATGCATGACTTTTTATAGGTATATCTTGTCTAGGGCTAGAGATGATCACAAACAAGTCCACTCCCCTATACAATTATTATAGCTCCTTTTGGACTGGTACTGGCCCTTTCAAAACTGTAATATAATTCTCAGATGTTCTCCAACTTACTGTCTATAGTAAAAACTTATGTATAATCTATCTATTTTAGCCTCAGATAGAGTTTCATTGTACATGTTGTCCCTTAATTAAATTGTCTGAAAAAAAGATAAGAAGAAAAAAGTATATGAAATAATTTACATCTTTGATTCATACTACATTAAAAATTCAAAGCATAACATTTCCTGTGCAATCCAGAACTGTTCGGTGGTGTAAAGACTGAAGACCCATAACAGTTGCCCCACTCTTTAAATTCCCTTGTCACCCTGTTCTTACCTGCCACAGACTTTCAAAAGATTTTTTTTGCTTCTTTATTCCACCTTGAAATGCCTTATATTGCAATTCACCGTTGCTTTTAGCTCTTCCCAATTAAAACAGCCCATTTCCCCCTCAAAATTAAGCAAATCAGTGTTTCTCAAAGTATAAGGGGTTTTTTTTTCTTCACAAAATTTCTTTCAGTCATTGGAGGAAAAAAGTTCTAAATGATAGAGATAGCTAGCTAGATAGATAGATAGATATTGTGGAAAACTCTAAAGTTTTCATGGTACGTCCTTATTTTATCATAAAAGCTTAACTTATTAAGTAAGCAGATCATAGAAGTGTCATTCAAACATGAATATGCCCAATGATCAACAGGAGCTTGCAAG